AATTTTAGCCTAATTGCCTATATCATTATTATAAAAATGGGCATTTCTGACTATAGAAATTTTCATGCTTAATCCCTTCACCTCACATTGAAAATGGTAGCGAATTTCCCATTTCAAAATGTACCCAAACTATTGTCATCTTTATATCGGTAATCAAACTTATGAGGCTACGAATGCAAAACAATTGCAAATGCAAATGAAAAACTCTAGGATTTGTTTTTCCGCAGAGCAAAACAAGCACGAAACAAACAAAAAACAACATCTACTTACATTTCAATCGGTGAGCGTGGAAAATTTCGTCGATGTATCGTGTGAATATGTCCGTTCAAACGACTGAATTAAAAGACGCGCGTTTAAATGGAGCGAATATATAGTTTGAGTAACAGAAACGGTCGAGAATTGATATTTAGTGCGCGATACAAATTCTCAACATACTGTTACTCCGAAGTAATACGGTTTTTTTTCTCGCCTGTGTGCTGTGTGTATGCTAACATGCTTCCTAGTTTTCCGTCGTTCAAATCAAAACTAAACACTGCACGATTGCCATGTGCATGTGTATGTGTAACTGTTTGTTGCTTTATTGTAAGCATTTCAAAAACGACAACAGCGAACGACAGTTACATAAACGATATAAAAAAAAAAAGAAAAACAAAATAAATGTATGAATTCATGTACATACATTAGGGTGACTAATTCACTCGCTTCCTCTTCTCACTGTGTGTCTCCGCCTCCTCAAACTCTGTGAAATATGTACGTGTATGTTGTACTGTGTGGAGTTGTGTTGATTGTGCGTTAAGTTGGATTTTCATAAATTACAATTGAAGATCTGGGGCGATTTGCAATAAATTTCAATATAATCAAAGGGATTTTGCATTAAATTTCCAATCTATTGCAAATCTATTGCAAATCTGACTGAATTGATTCGGAAATGGTGGCGTGGATTTGTCCATGTGAATTGAAATTAGTTTTTTTTTATTGGAAAGAGCTATTTCGTTAAATTGCCAACTCATGAGCTGTGGATTTGAGTACATAATTTTGCAAAGCGCAAAAATGTTTTTTTTTAAGGATTTAAAGAAAGATAGAAATCAAGTCACCCTAATTGTACATATATGATATACCATCCAATAGGGATACGTACGAATTTTCCTTGTTGGAAAAGTGTATGGTGTGCGTCGTGTATACTCACAAGCAACGCGAGACTCGATCGTATTTACTAAATACTATTTACGTATATTACGGTCGAAAATCCATAATCGATTCCAAAAATCGGAAATATGTGGCGCTTTTTTCCACATGAATTTACTGTTTTTGTTTATTTGTTTGTTTTTGTGTGTGTGTGTGTGTGTGTGTGTGTGTTATTTTTCTCTCGTCGAATGTTATTTTTTATGTTTTCTAATTATTTATCCACTATATAAAGTTCGAAGCGATAAAGGTTGGCATGAAGTAGAAGAAGAAAATGTGTATAGTCCAATTCACACACGGTTGAACAAAAGATTCACATTAAATGAAAAACACATTCATCAATAGATCAACGCTTTTTGGAGTGATTGATAGAGAAAATTTTTCGGTGCCAGCCAAATGTCTCTATGTCTCTCTTGAGCACGTATAATCGCATCGGTTAAGTATTTAGTATATGCCATAGTAAAATGGAGAAATGAAAGAAAAATAACAACGACAACATCATTTCATTGTATTTTACAAAAGATGGATAGAACATGACTTACCAACACCTCAACAAATGCACTACTTCGAAAGTCCTCATCATCATCAACAACAGCATCCACTAACAACAGTATTTTCGTTGCCATCGTTGTCTCTGGTATGCCTTTGCAAGTACAACAAAAAGTAGCAACATGTCTTTCACGTGAAATTGACATTTATTGTTAGATGATGCTATTCGTTTACGTGCATGGCAAATGTGTAGCACCGTTTCTCTAGTATGCTGTGACAATGACGACAGAATGACTGTTTGTTCGTTCGAATTGCAAATATAAATAAATATCTATTCGGGTTTGGGAATAGTGTATATGGACCGTCATCGCCGTCGCCGCCGACAAACGAACGATGCTCGTTTCAAAAAATGCTCTTCTCTTTCTCTCTTTGGCTCACACTCCCATTCCCTATGTGTATGTATCTCTTTCAATTTGCTTTTGGGATAAAAGGAAAAATGCAGTCATGTATCGTGGCGCTTATGGGGCCTCTTCTTATATAGACATGCCCGTATATGTATACTTATGTACCCACCAACCAGAATAAAACCAACAACAGCCGCAGCAACAACGAACAGAAAGCGGCAGAGAGAATGAATCTGTGCATATAGTCGCAATTGGGTGGAATATATCCCGTAAGATGGATGGAAATTCACATGGAAAAATCATTCAAATCAACAGAGATAACGATAATAGCTGAAGCTCACAGAGCAACAGAGCAGCCACTAGCTTCAATCGCAAATTGAAAATAGAAAGAAAACGCCACACGTTGATGTTTATAAAATCGGTATTATGTTTTCTGAGATTTATTGTATACACTTATTCATCTCTCTCTCCACATGCCTCACTCTCTGTTTCTGGCTCACATGGCACTAGTACACACAGACACACACACACACATACACTACGGGACACACAAAGAGAGACACATACAAAAAGAGGCAGAGGGGATACGAGCGAAAAATAGGGGAGTGAAAGTTGGGTTTCAGGTGAAGAGTCAGAAGAGCAAGAGAGACAGAGTATATTTTGAATGACACTCCACATCCATCCACTCCAATTCCACCCATCCATCCATCTCCCTATTCATCTATGTATGTTTCGGTGAGCGCAATATAGAGTGTGTGGGCACTAGCGCCGTACACACAGATTGTGTGTATGCCTCTATGTATATACAGTGCAATCAGATTGTGGAAATTGTTTCAATACAGTGGATATATTAGTATTCCTATCGAGGTTTTCGTTATATTCCTCTTTGTGTGCCTCTTCCCTCATGGCGCTTTTTGCACATCTTCTAAATCCACTTCGGCACCGGCGCTCACTCTCACTCCGCGGAATAGAAAAAGAATGTAATAGCAACAGCCACAAAAACAACAACAACAAGTAGCAACAGCACACACCATCGAAACATCCCTCTCACACATTACATACGCGAACAAAGAGCGAGAGAATGGGAAAAAAAAGAAAGAAGAAATAATACAAAAACAAGCGCATACCTCTACACAAACAACAACAATGTGCAGTACATAGATAAGATCTGATTTGAAGAAAAACTTACCAATTCACCCCATTCTACCTCGTGCTTTCAGCACGGAAACAGCACAAATGGCAATAGTAGCAATAACATTAACAAATCCATAATCTACATAATTGAAAGGAAAGAAAACACATTGGTTTTGAACGCATGTGCGGATTCTTTGTTCATTTTTTCTCTCTCTGCTTTTTTTCGCTTTTGCTCTGGTGATTTTTTCGCTTGATTTCTTTCCTTCTCCGAATTCTATTTTGCCACTGATTTTCTGAACATATTGTCTCTCACTCTCTCACTCTCTCCATCTTTCTCCACATTTTCTCATATTCGCTCGCATAAACAATCAATGCTATGGATATGATATGAATTTTATCTTAATTAAATATGGCTTGAATGTGGAATTGATTTAATGAAACCGAATGGTTTGGCTACACACACATTTGTCGGGGTATGTCGGTCATCAGCCGGTCATTTGGTTTATCGACTGTCTAAATGCCAATGCAATAAAATTGTATATTTGTATTTATGATACTACATCGATTGAGAGAGAGAGAGAGAGAGAGAGAGAGAGGGAGAGTGGAAATAAGCCGAGAGAAAGTTTGGGAGATTGGCTCCCAAATCGAGAATCAAATTTTATAGGCAAATTCACAAAACTGTTAGAATTTATTTCAACAATCAAGAAAGAAAAATTACCCATTTTATGTAAATGTAACGAACAGCTGCTTCCTCGGAAATCTACACGTTCACTCGCTCACGTTCGCTCGTTGGCTCGTTCACGCTCACTACAAATCGCCTTTTGACCAAATTGAGCTCCGGGGAATTGGGCTCTGTCTCGCACCAAAACAACACCGAAAAATCAGAGCAAATGACACCAAACAGTCAGCATTTTTACGTACTCAATCACCGTACACAAGTGGTTTCTTTCGTTTTTTTTTCTTCTTCTTCTTCTTCTTCTTCTTACTTGTCAACCAACAAACAGTTATCTCGTCGAAAACAGTTTAGCACCTGATTTTCATTGCAAGTATTCGGCGTTTGGAAATGCTATATCACGAATGGGAATAAATAATCCCCTATGTCAACAAAATAGAATCGAAAACGAAATAGAACAGAACGAAAAAAAACAACAAGAGAAAAATTGCCTGTATTCAGAGTATGTGGTAGCGAGAAATAAAATTGCTGGTATGAAAGACACTAAATGAGCGACACACGAGAGAAATGCTTCAGTTGTGCGGGACGGTTTTTCATATATTGAATTAGAGAGCAAAAGAGAGAGAGAGAGAGAGAACTCACAACATTCGATGGGCCGAAATGGAAAATACAATAAATAAAAGCGGAAAAAGATGAAGAAAATAAACACGTGGAGACGCATCGAAAAACGGAGAGAGCACAGTGGACTTTATGTAGTATGGTTTTTATGTTTATTTCGGTACATTATATATGAAATATCTTATATAAATGTGTGTATATTATGATGATATTAATAATCATTCGAAGAGGTACTTTTGAGCAGGAAAAACACCAAATGAGCATCAAATCAATGGAAAACAAATACGAACATGGCCAAAATATGAGCATACATTTTATGGAGAAAAATAAATAATCGAAACATTTTCATGAATTAAGACCAATTTATTTGTGGCGTGGCGGAGGAGATGGTGGGTGGGTGGGTGGGTGGTAGAGGTTAGAGGGTGGCACAGGATATTCTTTTCGGTTGTTATTTGAGTAAGAAATTGTATTTTATTCATTTTTTCCGAATGGTTTGGATTTCAAAGTTTGCTCTCAAGTGTTTTCCTAATGTATAGGGAGTTTGATTACAGTATGTGTCTATTGGATTTTCCAATTCGCATGGATTTCGATTAAATGCTGTCGCTCTCACTCTGTCAATATGTACATTTGTACATATCTCACTCACCCTCTTGCGCACACAACATTTGTTGTGTGACATAAAACTCGGCACAACCACTTGATTTTCGGGGAGACACATGTACACGCTACTGCGGCGATTGCTGCACCAAACCCCAATTATACATAGTCGTGAGCTGCGCGTAATTTAACCAATTTTATATGCTGAACTGCAATTTTCACTTCATTACAAACCATTTTTTTTATACATCATAAACTGTGTCGAGAGTCGTTGCGATTGTTGTTTTTTTATGATTAAATCGACTGAATCAAAAACGTTTCGCATGAAAATTTACGTAAATGAAAATGATGTTCTTTTATTTCCATGTAGTAAAACGAAATTTAATGAATAGATACCCTAAACTACTATTCATCAACTATATATTTAGTTTAGTCACTCTGAATCGATACTTCTATACTAAAGCATTTTCGTACAGAATTGGTTTATATTAAAAGAGAAATTCATCTATTTGTTTAAATGGGTTTCAAATGCATCAAATTGTGAAATGATTTCCCATTAGATGAACGATGTTCAAGTATCCGATTTGTCTTGCCAAACAATTTGCTCGATCCAACTTGTGTAGTGAGCAACATTTGTGTATACGCCTGGTGTATTTTTATAGCCACATGATTTCCCAAATGATGTTATTCCAATGATACTGTATACACAGTGTGGCTTCGCAAGTAATATCTAAAAGCAGAAAAACGAGAGAAAAAAAAACGCTTGATTCCATTTGATATTGAATTTCTCTATATGCATTTGAGGATCTCTTTGGACCATCGTTTTCTTTATGATGTTTTATATATCAACAAGCCGCTCTTCACGTGGGTTTTTTTCCCTTTTAAACTCTAGTTCAATCGCTTTCATTGAAAGAAACTCAACAATGTTTGTCAACATCAATCTCATTATTTTATTGTTCAGAATGAACTATGTACCAACCTGAGTTCTCCTCTCACTCTCTCCCTCTCTCTCTCTATTTTAGCAATACACTTACTTGAATGGGTCCGCCAGAGTCACCTTGACCTGTGAAGATTTAAAAGACTAATTCAATTTGAGTGGAATCATTAAATATCGTTTCATTTCTGAATTGAATGAACTTGCATGTATCTTTATGCCCTGTCAATTCTCCGGCACAAAATTGTGATTTGTCTATACCACGACTCATGAAGCGGCTTGCCTGATAAAAAATAATGAATTACATAAAAATTTGTACATTTCATTCATATATGACATACCCGGTATGTTCTTTTGCATAAATTCAGTTCCACTTTGTTGAGTTGAACCTTCAGCAAATCATTACTACCGACCGTACGTTCTACAATAAATCCGATTTGAAAGTAGCTTTCTTATTATTATATTTCAAAGTCAAGCGAATACACAACCACAACAATAAGAGTGGAAAGATACAGCTCTAATTACCGGTCGATGTTAGGCCAAAGCCGGTGGCAATTGCTTGTGACCATTCCACATCATTATTTACATTTATGCAAGCCGGCCGAATGAATTCATTAAAATGAACGCTACGGGCCAATCGCATTAGCGCAATATCATTATATTTACTGCTCGACTTATAGTCCGGATGCAAGTGGATTTTATCTATTAGAACAATACGCGTGTGATCGTCATAGTTAATTAAGTTTATTGATCCTAAGCGTACAACTCTCGCGGGACCCCTAGACAATCACATTTCAGAAAATGAGTTTTCATTTGGAAAGAAAGAACATGTTGGACATGGTTTATGCTCGGCAAACCTTATTCGATCCTTTCCACAATGAGCAGCTGACATGACAAATTTTTCACTAATTAATGAACCACCGCATAAATACGCCAAATCTGATGGACCACCAAATCCAATGGCTGCCATATGCGGAAATTCTGTACGATCCACTTTCGTTCCACCAACTATCAACGGAAGCATATATGAATCACAATTTGCAACTCCGTAACTTAGACTCGTCCAAGCCGATATTTCATACGCATAGTTTGTATATTTCATGCACTCTGGAAGAGAAGACGAAAAATTGAGGGAGATAGTAAAAATTAGCTAAAAAATAATCAATGAAATATCGTAAAAAAAAAAAATTTCATAACCGACTTTTCTGAGCCAATTCTCCAACATTTTGTACCGAAATGATGGAAATTAAATTTATCAAGACACTAATAACTAAGAGGTTTTTCATTTTTTTCTTTCGACTAAATGAGACTTTAACTATGAGAAATGCTTATCCCATATGACGATTTAATATTTAGAAAACCTTCGTTCGCGAATTTTATTTCGTAAAAAGAAAACCTTTTGCAATCTAAACAATTCTGTAATCACCTTTAGAATAATAAAATTTGAAAATGTTAATGACTCACAAGTAATACTTGAATAATTGTTCATTGATTTTCATAACTTCATTACCATTTGTTTCAATTGATATTATTCAAATTTTTCTTCGACAGCTCTCAAAGCGAGCTTATTCAAATATGTCACGATTCTCCATAACAAAAATTCTGACTGAATGAATATTTTGAATGAAAAATAAATACTAAATATTTCCAGAAATTTTACATAAAAGTAATAAATGCAACAAAAGAATGCCTCAATAGATTCCATAGAAAAACTAAATTCAAATAGTCTCATTTATGGCGGACACATTGGATATGAATCGAGGCCAACTTCACGCGATTGTTCACACATTGACAATGGCACATAAAACGTCAGTAGGTCTTAATATCCGTCGTAATGTGTTTGATATTTCAAGGAACATTCGTTTTGTTCAAATAGTTAGTTTCTTTTTCGTTTTATTCGACCTAAATGCAAAACAAAATCGAAATGAGTGATGATGAAATCATCGAAGATGTAAGTGTATTGTACAATAATTTATTACCACGAAATCAATTTATATTTATGGATTTCACCGTATAGATTCCGGTTTATTTTTCAAAAACACTTGCCGATAACCTATATGTTCTGCAATATCCGACTCGAAAAGCCGATGAAAATGCAAACGATGCTGTGATACTGAAAAGTTATGTGAAGCCAGTGAATCAGGAATTGAAAATTCAATACAAACTCGACACCGCTTCACGTCACTATGATGCATTCAAGGGTGAACAGTTGGCCATTGCGGCCGATGGAAAGGTATGTCAATGTTTAAATACCAAATTACTTTGCGGCGTCTGTAAATTGTTGTGTATTTTATTACAGGATCGTAGCGAGCGAATGTATGACAGCGGCACTATGGATCATCAAACCTTTGTTAGTTCTAAATCGATGGAAAATCCAAAGCGATACATTGTTGGCTATATGACAAACTATCATGATAAGGGGAAAGAGATGCACCTCTCACTGATCAATGGCATCATTCAAATGCGACCGAGTTTTTCACATTTCGACCGATTCGAGTCACGACGAATCGCCGAACAAAAAGCCGAACAAGAAAGTGATGCCGAAGAAGAGGAACCCAAACATGTGACCGTCAAATTTGCCCGCACCGAAACCGATCGTACGCGAAAAGCACGTGAAAAATCGTTTAATTATCTGTTGAAACGAAGTGAAGATGAACCGTGGTGCGAAGCGGAATGGTGTGCTCAGGATACAATTCAGGCTCAATTGGAACGGCAAAAATTATTTTCCACCAGCGACGAATCAACCGGCCATGCACTTAGTTTACCTCACAATGAGTATGTCGAGATTTTAATTCCGGCCGAACGTGATTTCAGCAATGTCGATATAGCAACGAATTCAACCATGTGCAGCATGAGTAAATTGAAAACATTTCCATTGCCCGATCAAATTCGCTACATTTTGAAGGATGGTGAGTCATTTGCTTTTCTCAATGTTCGTATATATCAAAAGAGAGCGACATTCTCTTGGCCCGGAAGTAAATTTTGAGAATCAAAACTAACTTTTTTTCCATCTGAATTCAAATTTGCAGCCAGAGTCGTGCCGTTTGAACGTTTGGCGGAAATTATTGGCAAGAGTATTTACAATGAAGAAAAAATTCTTCGCGCACTGCCCACCGTTGGCCTAATGATCCATGGCAATTGGGTGGTTCAATCGGAAGCAATTTACCCACCAAAAACTGTATCATCTATCAACGGTGTATCAGCAGAGCTGATGTGCCGAGCTCGTGATTATATTCTTTATCAGTTTTATCGCAATGAATTTATTGATCGTAAAAAGATTAGCCTAGTAACACAGGTGCCACCCGACGAAGTAGAAGAATTATTGTTAACGATATCAAAGTGGGACGGTAAAAATGGTTGGCAATTACTGCGTTCGCCAAATCCTCGTTTCGAACAAAAATACCCTGAACTTAAGCAACGACAAGACATTTTCTGGCGATCAAAAGAAGAACTCTTCGTCGAAATGGAACAAGAAGCACGATCACCGCGACGAAAACGAAAAATTTCAGTTAAATCATCCACCTAAGTTATCATAAATAATTATTCAACTTTTTTATTTGTGACAATTTTTTTTATTATATATTCGAAATGAAATCTGAATAAAAAGTTAATTCAATTTATTTCTTCTTTTAATATTGCTATAACTAAGAACCATTTTATGCGATTGTAAAATACATGAGCAAAAAAAAAAAAAATACACAGTCCATATAAATCATCATCAACCATTCTTGATCAATAATAGAATTCATTATATGTATAATATTTAGATTCAATCAAATCACGATATAGTCTTCCAATATTGGTGCGCTTAAGTCCCAAAACGGGTTGAATATTCAATCTATTTTTGTCTGGCGTCAGAATGACAATATCATGTTTATTCGTCGTGCCCGGTCAATAAAATTGTGTCTTCGGGCAACGGAATGCGTCGAAAATGACGATTCGTAGCCAAATACAATACTAATGCAGCAAATGTTAGTATAAGTACGCCAATCATATTAACCATAACAGCTTCACTTGGCAATTGGGAGTATTCTCCACCACTGGAAGAGATAAGAAACATAGATAGATGTTTGTAAACAATATGAAATGTTCAAGGGTCTGTCCAACATTCAAAATTCAAAATTTCAAAAACTAAAAAAAACAGAGGACAAATGAAATATTTACAGTTTAAATATGGTCTTTTCACATAAGCCCAATAGTGCTGCAGCGGTTGATGCCCCAAATCCGGCCAGTCCAAAGTAAACGTGATACGGCATGAATTGTTCTCGTTGTTGTGGCGGTATTATTGGGTATAAAAATGAGAAGAAACCACAAATCCACTGAAATTTTAAGGAAAAGAATTAGTTTTTTCCTCACATTTTCTTTGCTTATCTCTCTTTGTTTCTTAGCCTCTTTCATTCGCCTTTTATCTTTCGTTTGTTTCTTTCGATTTCATTTTCTGTTCTTTATTCGTTTTTGATTCGTGTTGACTTTTCAATTAAATATAATAATTTACCTGACAAATGAACAGAATGATGGCAATTAGGCCGATCCAGGAGTGAAGCGAATACAAATTTGGAATGGGTGGATCGACAAGAACGTGTGAATCGTAAACGGCCCATGCTGCAATAATCGCCAATAACATAATCGTACCGAAGATTGAGGCGTGAGAGATTTTCAAGCTACGTTTTCGGGCATATCGAAGGCCACGATAGACCAATATGGCTAACGGGAGAAGAATTAAATTTTCATTATAATTTCGTTAATGATTATTTCCATAAAATAACAACTGATTCAGTTGATGTGAAGCGTGTATTTCGCCTTGTAAAACCCATAAATTCACTCAAAATTAAAATTCTTCAAATATTTGATCTTTGTTTGTCCTTTATCTTACAATTTCCATAAAGATAAACCATTCCAAGCGTCATTAACAGTGGATGCCAATTAAACTGGATTCGTGGTTGCGATGACCAGCTCAATCCTCCAAGATAAACGAATACCCAGCATAGCATCAGAATGAGTAGTGTGCAGCCGATCAGCTGTAAAACTAAGTACAATACACGAAAGTCGGCATATGTTCTGCCGCTTTGATTATTGGTTGATGTGGATTCCATTTTTTCCGTCAGGTCAATAGGTTAATGCGTTCTGAAATTGAAACCGAAAGTGAAATCGATACGTTGAAAAGAATATTATCATCGCGCAACAGGTAGCAGTTTACGAAAAGCAAGCGATAATTGAAACGCAATAACAAAAGCGACGAAAGAATGGTCAAGTGCAAGGAAAGGCGTAGCTTTGAAACCACATATGGAAACAGCATCCATATGGATGTTTACATCATTCACATATACGTTTCAATAAGCAGCAACACTATTAAATATACCAAACTAATCAAATGAAATGTGATACATTGCCGACTTCTTTTTATTGTCGCTTTCTGCATCGTAATTTGATCCATACTTAATGCAGAAAAATGCATAACTATCTCTCTCTCGCACACACTACATACCTGTGAAATCTAATATGTTGCGTATTTTATTCGGTCGCTTGCACTGCGTGCTAATTTATGGACAACACTGATCCTATTCAAGCTGAAAATACCATATAGATTCACCCAAAAAAAAAAAACAATTTAAAGATAGTCTTGTTTTTATCAGTAAAGCAAACAAAACAATCGCAACAAAATTATTTTTGTTACGCTCGACAGTCAATGCGATGGTTTTATAGCAGCTTAAAGAGAGAAATTTTTCGGTTGTTGTTGATTTGCGCTTGTCAGAACGTTGTACGTTTCTTCGGACCAATGAAAGAGCGCAACAGATGTTTTTTTTTTTTTTTTTTTTTAATTATCAGCTGTGTGTTGGTTGTGATTACGAATGATGATTCAGGCATTATATTATAGCAAAAAAAGCGAAATTATTGGTGCAAAAATAAATCATGAAAAACCATAAAATTGTAATCTAGCTAGGCTCATGATGAATACTTGTTGCAATGTTTCGTAGCATTAATGTGAACCGTTTCTCTCTCTCTCATCTTAAGGTCGGTCTCCATGTTCAAAGTACGTCGAACGTGAGTGTCACGCTCGTGATTGTGACTGTAATACTTTAGCCGCGACTTTCTGTTATTTGGCGCGCAAGTGACAGAAGAGCTAGCACAAACAAAGTTGATTGAACAGTCCATCATTTGATTTGAAGTTTTTGCTCCGTTTTTTTTTCTCATCGAAAAAAAAAAACTAATCAGCCACACGTTTATTGCAAATCAAAATCCAGAAAAATCACTTCCAATTTCTATTTATTGCTATTTTGTTGCGCACTTTTGTATCGGTGCGAAAATAAATTCGACCCGCATTCTTACGGTGTGAAGGAATCTCTCTCTGTTGTGTTGTTCATTGTATAACTTATTGAACAACGAGGCGAAGGCAGTGAAAAAAGAGAAGAACGGCAATCAAATGGCGAAGGTACACATCACAAATGTTGTTGTTCTCGACAATCCGAGCAGCTTTTTTAATCCATTTCAATTTGAACTGACATTCGAGTGCATCGAAGAGCTAAAAGAAGATTTAGAATGGAAAATGATCTATGTTGGTTCGGCTGAATCAGAGGCCCACGATCAAATATTGGATACAATCTACGTTGGCCCCGTTCCAGAAGGTCGACACATTTTCGTTTTCCAAGCCGATCCACCAGATGTTACCCGCATTCCAGGTAAGAATAGGTTTCGGAATAAAACCATTTTTATCATAATATTTTTTTTCTTTTGCTGGTTCAAGCTAAATTTTATCTTTTTTTTTCCATTCTGCTTGCTAATGCCTTATGTTTCTGCTTCTGCCCGCATTTCAGAACAAGATGCTGTTGGTGTGACAATCGTACTGTTGACATGTTCGTATCGTGGCCAAGAATTTGTGCGAGTTGGTTACTTCATAAACAATGATTATACTGATCCAGAGCTCAAAGAGGTGCCACCACCAAAGCCAATGTTCGAAAAATTGACGCGAAACATTTTGGCGACAAAGCCGCGTGTGACACGATTCAAAATCAATTGGGACGATTCGAGCACAGCAACAAACGGTGACATGAACTTGGATGCATCCGATTCGGCGGGATTTTTTGAGAAAAACGAAGCAACCATGGAACAAGAAGATACAAACGGCGACAATGTGAATGGCGGCGAAGAAGCTATGGGCATGGACGCACGTCTGAATGAAAATTCAAATTCCCTAGCCATGGAATGTTGAACCCACAATCTCTTTGCCACGCTTGCGTATGCGGTTGGATAAAAATGTTCATTGATTTCAATTGCAATGTTCTTTTTGTACTGAAAAAAAACTATGATCCTTTTTTAAGAACTTTATAAGAATAAAAAAAAAATAAAAAAATAACGATATTCATAAGAGACAAACTTGAAAAAATTATGTCTTTTCATTGACACACACCCCGTGTAATTGGATTCGGTTCATTATATTGTATTGCATTCAATGAGCAGACCAAAGAAAAAAAAAACAAACAAAATGGAACTCTGACAATTCCAATTTGCAATTGTAGAGAGGGAAAAAAACGCACTCATGTATGTTGCTATCCTTTTACATGTTCAAAATGTTAGGTTATCGGATATGTCAAATCGATGTTGACAGCGCACACACCAACGAATACTCACCATAATTAAAACAAAAGAAGTTCAAAGTCATATCAATTTTTCGGCTTTAATTGGCAAACATTCAAATTAAATGGATGCAAAACGAGGAATTGAAGTGATTCGGGCCGACGATTTTGTGGAATATTTTTTATTTCCATCGTTAGATCAACTTAATGGAGACAATACCGCTGAAAAATTGGAAAATTTTCGACAAAATGTTAACGATAGCGTCCAACAATTCACCGTCGATTATATTTGGCACAAGGAACCGTTCCAATTAGTCATTCGAACGCCCGAAACCGCAAGGTTATTCAACGAATGCAAAATTCAAGGTGAGTAATTCATATATCGTTTTATTCGCTTCGTAGGTACTTGTGAATTTTATAATATAACGAAATTGTGTTGATATTGAACACAAAATGTGTTTATTGTTTTGGAAATTCAGATGATCTACCACCACACCTTTATGGGCTTACATTTTATGGGGAGAATATTCAGGATGAATGGTACATAGTGGAAATAATAAACCACTTGACAAAGATTTATCCACATGTCATTGGCCGAATTTTTGATGCCGATGGCGAATTTCTGTTGATCGAAGCGGCTGATGTGTTACCAGGGTGGGCCAATCCTGACACTTGCGCTCAAAGAGTAACTAAACAATTAATCAATTTATTGATTTTTTTAATTTTTTTTTTTATCGTAATATTTCAATAATAAATAATTGTGTTTCATTAAATTTCTTCTTGCTATTTCTTGAAAAATTTAAATGGTTTTTCCATGGATTTTTTTTTCTCGTATCTATTCAAATTCTCATTCCCAATTTCCTATTTCTAGGTTTTCATGCACAATGGTCGCATAATCATAGTACAAAACGAAACAACTGAATGCGAAACAAATGCCGTGCTTCCAGTTTCCGTTGGCCTCAAGCGAATCCGTGAGGATGTGAATCTGTATGAGTCGGATGCGATAATGAAATGTATAGAACAGCGTTTTGTTGGCACTAAAAAGAGTACTCTGTTGCATCGAGCATGCATTTATTTACCGATCTCAGCGGCTTTGTTGTTAAAGCAAAATCCCCAGCTCATATCATACGCTGTGCGAGCATTTTGTAATCGTGATGAGATTGACATGAAACTGTGTCGCGCCATGAAACATTTTCCGCCTGAAACTCGTGTGTTTACTCAGGTTACATTCACCAAATGCCTTTACGCTCTGCTCACATATCACAATTACAAGCCGAGTCATCGAACCGGGTGGAATTTGCCAAATGAAAAAAGCAACACATTTACCGCTCACAATTTGGGCATGAAAATTGCTTGTGGCCTCGAAATTTGCGCATCAAAAGTACAAAACGAACAGAACGATGTTGAAAATTCGAAAGAATGGCAAATTTTCACCGGTCAGCTCAAGCAAAACGGATATTTTGGTGATGCGATCGAAGGATCGCAAGAGTATACGAAACGTTTGGATACGGCAAAACAGTACTTTAGAATCCTTTCCCAAAACCATTCCACATACATAGATGCTGTAGCCCGTGAAATTCATGAGCATCTCAAAGACATGAGTACCTTAAACGAACAATTCAACGATGACATTTTATTCGATTACGATGCATCATTGAACGATAGCGAAGACTGGATGAATATATCTCAGGAAGATTTCGATAACATGATGACCGAACGATATGGCATCAAGAAAACGTTGCGTTGCAACACGGATGAAACGGAAAATGATTCATCCGATCTTGGCATGAATTTGAATACGTTTTTAACACAAAAATCCGAATTCGATGGCGTTGACTTTCGGCCATTGTTGAAGGAAGAATCTACAGGGCCTACTGCAAGTAGTATTACTCAAAATACAGGAAACATTGACTTTAATCCGGATGCATTTCAAGCGCATCTCAAAGATATGCTTGATTTTGTCATCCCCGAGGATAACTGGGACTCACACTCGGACTCAATGAGCGATTTTGATGAGGAAAACATCGAACGCAACATCGACATAACCAATCCGAACACCGCCGCCACATTGTCGGCATACATGGAACAAATGGATCGAGAATTGGCTGCCACAACAATTGGAAGCAGCTTCAAAACTAATGCTAATGCATCGAATATGGAAGATGACGAAGATTTCGATGATATCGAATCGTTTGAACCGGTCGACATTGATGTCAACGCAATGAAAAATCTTGCCGAAAGTTACAAAGCTCAATTTGGAAATCATGGTCCAACTTCCAGTTTGTTGAGCTCACTTGGTGTCCGATTGAACACGGACAAGAGTTCATCAACCAACGATAAACCATAAAAACCTCTATATACATGTCTATTTTTTGAAAGCCTATAAGCACAAGTTTTATTTTCTGTTTTAAATAAATGCCGCACCTTTTGACACAAGTTTGACGTTTATTTTTCTGTAGAGCACTTGTATGTGTCTGTCAAGTAGTCGCACTAGAGTAAAACAATTTAATATTTTTTGTTTTGATTGACTTTGCACATTCAACATGCTGAGCAATTTGGTGATTGGATCGGAAAGGGTAGTTCTTTTTGTAGGTAAGTCTAAGACTTAATGAATGTGTTGAAGAAAACGCAATTTTTCTTTTGATTTCAAGCAAAACTTAACCTAAAATTGAACATTTTAGATAGCAATTCATATGAACCGTTTGCAAAAGACCTACTGCAAACTATTGCACGCTCGTCTCCGGTCATCTTCTATCCGAAAGCAATAGATATTCCAATAATTGAATCTAATTTTAAGGCAAACATCGAAAGTGATATTCTTACCACCGGCGAAAAAGCAAATGTTATACTCGCACCAGTATCGAAACTCCAACTTAACAATAGCATAACAGAGATTGTGAATTTGGTACAGCATTTAAAACACCACGTGAAGGTGAAGCAAATTTTCATATGGTGCTCCACAAAGAATATACGCGATGACAAACTCATTCCGTTCCTACAGTACATGAGTAATATTGAAGTATTCCTTCGTGACGAATCCGAATTGCAAATATTAACCAAACGAAACACCGGAACCATCACGAGAAAGGTGAGCAAATATAGGAGAGAAATTGTGACTTACAATTTTTGGTCTCTTGAATTAAAAACGACGTATTTTTATTATGGAATTGAACATGGCAATTTTATATCTACAGGAGTATCAATACACAATCGGGGCTTGTTATGAAATATCAGTACGAGAAAAGGTGAAAAAAGCAGCAGAAAAACAGAATACTACACCATCGATCGATCCAGAATCATTAGCTACTTTCAAGATAACCGCTGGCAGTGGTGAACAAGCTACAAAGGACGCATTAAAATTACCATACGAACGGTTAGTTATCACCGCAAATGCATTTGCCATCATTTTTTTTTTTTTCATAAACTGTCCGTTCACAGGACGTCGAGCGAACCACAAACGGGTCACATTCATTATGAGCCAGACTCTGATGATGATTTCGATGATGAGGATCCAGACGAAGATCTGAATATTTAAATGTGCCTTCCTTAATTATTACTTTTTGAAATAAAGATTTTATACATTCTATTCGTTGACTTGTTTGGTATTTGAATGTTGCAAAATGTACGTTCTTTCTTTTCTGGGCACGCTTACTACGTCTGGCGACCTCTGGAGAAAATGCATGGAATCAGAAAGTGTGGTAGTAAATAATAGGTACATAAATATCGAGAGGCAAGGTAAATGTCACATTGAACTGCAAAAAAAAAAAAACAAAACGTCAACTACGGAAATGTGAAAAGTTAATGAAAAAACGATAAATATCGGGGTCAAAATCGATTGAAAATCCTTAGAAAAAGAAAAATTCACAACAAAAACCAGAATCATTAGTGTAACCAACGAAATGGTGTGTTAATCGTTGCAAATTAAAATCATTTATAAAATATCATTTTGTTCAGAATGAATGTTTCACTCAATTTGTTGTGATAAGTGGAAAACTGTTGTGGTTGACTGTTTTGTTTGTTTGTTTTTTCGCCGTTTTATTTTTGCGAAGAGTAAAGAAATCTAATTGACGTTGGCGCACAGAAAAAAAAGCGGATACTTTCCCGAATGCGAAGACAACAATTTGAGTATTATGAGTTGGTTTGAAGTGGACAGTGGACGAGTCACGATAGATCTGGTATTGAATGGCAATGATTGAATCTTCGGCATCCGTACAATGGCTGCGGCGATACAAACTGTTCTTTTTCGCTGGAATGCTCCTGTTGGCGATCCAGTTATTTCTCGGTTATCTTCTGCCCATATTTGGCACAACAGATGACATTTACAATCCAAACGCTGCATCGATTTACAGTAATTTGATTGCATACAAAAATCAGGCTGCATTTGATGAACTGTTTCACGATGAAAATCTGGCATTCGACGATGAAGACATAAGCAATAGCAATCCAATTGCAAATTTCAAAGAGATTACCACCGGCTTGGCACTGCCAAAAATCATTGTTGCATCATCAGCCAAGGGTATCAATCATAATCACCCACAAATCCACAATGATATTCTACTGAATGCCAAGGATGCAGCTGGAGGCAACCAAAAATTATCAACTAATTCGAATTTAAAATTAGGTAATATCAAATTTAAGCCACCATGCGCTATCGCAGCTAAGGAGGCCATCTCAGCCATTTATCGCGCACAAACGCGACAATGCAAGGAATTGATCGCAAACACAACATGTGCCATACAAAGTGGTACCTTTTATCCACAAGCATTACCCAATTACTGCCCACACGAACCGTACAATAAAGATAAACCGCTCGGTTGTTTCAAAGATGATAAAAAATTTCGCACCCTATCCGGATACTATATCAACTTTAAAACATCCAATACACCCACCAAATGCATTCAATTGTGTTTGCAATCCGGATTTGTTTTCGCTGGAGTTCAATATTCGTAAGTCAGTTAAAATTGGAGTTTATTTTTACATTTAGTGATTGAATCAGCATTTTTTTCGATTTGAGAAATTTAATTGATAACATGTTGAAAATCAATTTAAATTTCCCTAAGAAATTTTTTTGAAAAAATAATAAACATTTTTTTCTCTACTTTTCATCCATTTGCAGAACTGAATGTTTTTGTGGAAATTCCATACCAGAAAACACCATCAAATTACCCGATCCAGAATGCAACTATAAATGCTCAGGAGATCCGAAGAAACTCTGTGGCGGCTATTTTACCATCAATATTTTCGAAACTGGCATTAAACGTAAGTTTAACTTGATGGCATTTCGATAATTTCATCAAACATTATGAAACTTGACCCACACATTTCACCCACTAATCCAACTAATTCATATGCAAAAATGAAACGATTTTACTAACAAAGAAAAAAAAACGATTTCGAATTTATTTTCAAAGAATTCATTCCACAAACAGGTGCGGTGACCCCAAAATCCGAATTGCCCAAAGTGCGGATCACATTTTTACTCACACTAAACGGACGTGCCGTTCGTCAAGTGCACAGACTATTGAAATTATTATACAGTGAAGAGCATTACTATTATATTCATGTTGATGCGGTAGGTGTCAATCTGTTCTCTTCATATTTTTGTATTGGAATAATGTAGAACATAAGATATGTGGATGAATAATTTGATATATTATTCTGTAAATTAAATTGTTCTCTCTGGATTAATAAAAGTGATACCGTTTTTTTTTTTTCTTTTTCTGTCTATGTTCAGCGTCAAGATTACATGTACGAGGAATTATTGAAATTAGAGGAAAATGCGAGCAACATTCGATTGGCACGCAAGCGATATTCCACGATATGGGGTGGTGCTTCGTTGCTGCGTATGCTGTTGGCGTCGATGTCTGAACTACTACATCATAAAACCGACTGGAAATGGGATTTTATCATAAATTTAAGTGAAAGCGATTTTCTGGTGAAGACCAAAGAGAGCTTAGTTAATTTTTTAAGTGCGAATCGTGATAAAAATTTTGTTAAGTCGCATGGACGTGAAGTGCAGCGTTTCATTCAGAAACAGGGATTAGATAAGTCTTTCGTTGAATGTGATACGCATATGTGGAGAATTGGCGATCGTGACCTACCGCATGGTATTCAAATTGACGGTGGCAGCGATTGGGTGGGATTGTCACGAACATTTGTTCAGTATATCATAACCGAACCGCCCGATGAGCTATTGACCGGTTTGATGAGGATATTCGACCATACCCTTCTACCGGCCGAATCATTTTTCCATACCGTTCTACGGAATTCAGAATTTTGTCACACGTATGTGGATAACAATTTGCATGTAACCAATTGGAAGCGTCGATTGGGTTGCAAGTGTCAATACAAACACGTTGTGGATTGGTGCGGTTGCAGTCCAAACGATTTCAAGAGTGAAGACTGGCCACGACTGCTATCGACTGAAAATAAGCAATTGTTTTTCGCACGAAAATTCGAACCCATTGTCAATCAGGCCATCATATTACACTTGGAAGAATGGCTAATCGGTCCATATCCGGCCGATTATACCAATTTGCATAGCTACTGGCAAAGCGTATATCATTCACGGGACAAAAGTCCAAAAGTCGACGAAGCACTGATCACAGTGGCATCAAGCCTGGCGTGCCATCACTTGAATATCAACTACACGGTAAAAAGTATAATCGAAATGACAACATACATGGATCGTGATCAATACAAAGGCTTTTTAGTTCATCATGATATCGTTCATGTGGCGAATAGCAGTGATGCCATTCAAATGGAACTATTGGCACGGCCGCAACAATTTGGCCGAGTTTCACGTTCAACAACACTTGGCAAACGTATCAAAAGCATTGAAGTCAGCACGGAATATGACCAAAAAGAACAAATTCTACGGAATTTCGCGAAAATTATGGGACCAAATGCTGAACCAACATTTTTACTTCGTTTGGCCGAAATCACTTCGGAGCCAAACATTTTCACCGCACGTAGCTACAATTTAACGGTACTGTGGATCAATCCAGCCGGCTATTTAAGTGACATATCTGATATAAGCATTGATGTATCCAGTGCATCACAAACCATATCGTTTGCAAAATCGAATTTGAAACCACCACTTTTACCCGGCATTTGGACGGCGAAGCTGGTTAATAAACATGCTATGATTGCCCAATGTAATTTTTTGATTATCCCGAAAATTCGTGGCGATTTAAATGTTACGTCTGATGCCCAATGGTCAAGTGCTTATTCGAATGCTAATGAACGCCAAGCGAACCATTGGACAATGTTTTTACCGGCTGCAAAAGACATTCAAGTGATGAAAGAACAAGCTTTAACCAATGCCAAACTGATCGACGACGAGCGAATTATGTGGATCAGCGATTTAATCAATAAATTCTTTGTTATCAAAGAAACATGCGTATTACATCGTACCAACGTTCTACCGAATATACCGCAATGCAATCAAACCAAATGGAGTTCGTTTGCTCCAGATCCCAAAAGTGAGTTGTTTGCCGACGACGCAATACTAGGAAATGCGATAGAATAATTTTTTTTTGCTTTTTTTTCGATTGATGAAATAAATTGTTTTCATCAAAAACGCTCTGATTAAAAGTGACGAAAAAAACTTATCCGGAAGACCATATCTTATTAATTTTTAAAATTGTAATTGTCCTGACCGAATATGCAATTTGTTGCATTTGTATTAATGGTAACGTGATCATCACTTGATTCAGAATAATATCACAAATCTCGCACTCAATTCCAGATTGTGTGGCTCATTGTGAAAACGAAATAAAATAGAAGAAAAATCATAACTTTAATCAACCGAAATAATGTTATACATTGGAGAGAGAATTATATGGATTATATTCTAGTTCAAATTGAAATTGAGTCATTTTTCGATGTTTATGTGAAAGAGCAGATAAAATGCATTATGTAAATAATACGTGTAAGAAATGTGAAATAAATCAAAAATCTGTTGACATAAAATATATCAATTCCCTTGTTTTTTTTCACCCAGATTTTTTTTCTTTTATATAGCACAGAAAAAATGTCTAACTGTTTTTATTTTAATATCATTTTTAAAGATAAAATCCAAGTTTAAATTCATTTAGATTTTTTTAAACATATTTTTTTTTTTGCTTGTTCTGCTATTTTTGAAATCTTCGAAAGAAAAAAAGTAATTTAAATTTTTCAAAAAAGAAAATCTAAATCTCAAATCTAATTTTTGGAATTGGAATGAAAGTCAAGTTGTTGGTTTAAAATGTATTTATTATTATTATTTTCATGTTTGTATTGTTCTTAATTTCCTCTCAAATTAAATATAATTTAATCGAAATTTTAAAAAGTTATGCAAACGTGTTGCCTATTTGCGTGGTCAGAACTAAACGTGTCACTTCACTGAAAGTCATACTTTCAAAGTATGGTTGATTCTATTTGGTATTTTGCAATGCGTCTGAGTTATGAGTATTCAAATCGTCACAGTGATCACGATCAGACGCTAATCAAAAAAGCACGGTCTTGTTTGCATTTATTTACACATATTTTATAAAAAAAAAAATATAAATAAACAAATAAACTGTTTAACATATTTTGTATTTCAGTATTGCAAAAATGAGAATAACTCGGAATTATTTGGATGCATTTTCTTGTTTCATCAGTTGTCCAACGAATTATCTCTCTGTGGGGAGGGTGAGTTAAGATGGAATTATCATGAGAACATCCGTAGCAGCACCAAAACAAGGCAGAAACGTATTTCCCCCGTTAGAGTTAAATTGAAGTTAGTGTATTCGGGTGGCGATCACACAATTTTGTTAAAAATTGAGAAAATCGAATAAAAAACGATGATTAATCTAAAATACATCACGAACTTGATTTACCTTAATTCGCATTGATATATCTATTGGATTTATGTCGGATTTTAAATTGAGTTTAAATTTGACTCTATGACAAAAAATACATCATCGCATGGCCAACATTTTCAATCAGTTACGGTCGAGTGAGTCGCATAAACGGAACAGTTAATTGTCATTGTCATTGTTAATAATTTAGTTGATTTATACGCATATTACGCAAATCTATTGAAAGAATAATCGCGACACCATGTTTTTCTTGTTGTTGTTTTTCTTTTTCTTGAAGCCATAAGCGTTATTGTGTGGGTGTGTATCTGTGTTGGTTAAATTGCTTAATGCTTCCTATTTGGGCAGTGTGTCGACGGTGTGTTGTGTCCTTCTTTAGTATCGATTACTTTCCCGGTCCGAATATTTTCCACTTATTTTACTGACTGAATACCGGTCGGAGTATGCGTCATTGTACCGATCAGCTTTATAGTTGATTTCATGTGGAGTGTAGCCAATGTTTTTTTGCCAATATTTGGTCCAGTACAAATCTTCATTTCGAAGCTGTGCTGGCGTTTTGGCATCTCGACAAACAATCACACAATAGATCATGCTACCAATCAACGTTGCAAATCCGAAAATTAGGAAGATTAGCCCAAGTATCCTTTTTGAGAAGTAGAAAAGAAAACATTGGAATTGAGAGTTGAATGAAAATTTGAATCAATTGAAATTGCAATGCTTACCAAACAAACAGCGGCTCGATAAATTGTATAACGATAACAAAACCGAGTGTCACTAAAATTAAACCCAAATTAAGTAGTAACATCAGACAGCAAACGCCCTTAACGTTGGGACAAAAGGGATTAGGTGCTGACATTGCCTCGATTCGTGCACCGGCTCGTCGTGACCGATTACTGCGGCCGGTTTTCGCTGAACTTGCAACTGAATACAAGCTTCGAGGACCCTGCGCATGTGATCGATGTGTGTATCGACTGTAGAAATATGTAAGTTATGTTATTTTTAGTTGGGCTTGAAAGGCATTTTGATTCAGGCTTTTATGACTGAAACACATCATTTGTGCGAATTTTCATCAATTTGATCTTTTTATATCAAATCGGTTCGTTATATGAATTTTGTCTTCAGAATTTTTATTGAATTGACTTCTTTTTGTTCGAATTGAATCGAAAATTCTATTAACCTTGTCGAATTTAATTTCAGAAAGCGTGAAAAAAAAACTCTACTTTTGATAGAACCAAAACGATTGGAAATAACAACTTTACCTATATTCTGAAGGTGTATTTTTATAATTGTACGCCGCAGATGTAACATAAATATCACTGCCAGTGTCACCGCCATGTTCGTAGCTCATCGCTGATGGTGCTCTTGGTGGAACCCGTGTCGGTGGTCCATATGTAGGACCCAAGTTTTTAGGGCCAGAATTCAATTCACCTCGATACTTGTCGCGATGAACGTGTGGAGGTGATGTATTTCGCTCATTGGCCGTTGTATACTCGGATAATGTGCGCTCCGATGGAGCTCGTTGACTTTCTTCACCATCTGTCCAATAGCCCCGATTCGAATGCGAATAATCGACGGTATCGGCACCACGTGTCGCAACATTCGCAACATAGTGGCCGTTTTTTAATCTTTCAACGAAAATAAAAATACCATTATTGATTAACTGGTTCGGCTATTTTTCATTTCGAATCTAATAAAATCTAATTTTCGAAAATCCAACGCAATTTATAACTAATAAATTTTTTCTAGCTATTCTATCAAAAATTCTGTAATTTTCTATTTCAATTTATTGAGTTTTAAAAGATGTAAAAGTGTCTTACTTTTTAACAGATCGTTCATGGACTTTCGGCATTTTTGTTGTGTATGTTTTTGTTTGGAATTTGTCGAAAAATCGAGTTTTTGATTTGAATATGTAATTTTCTTTATTGCCGCTGCTGACTCATGTTGTCATAATCACCATCAAACGTTTGTTATCACACTCTGCGAATCATTAATAATTTGAATTAGAATTTGTTCGATCGAACTTTTTTCTCCACATTTTGATAGTGATGAATTTTTTTTTTTTTTTTTTTTTCAATTTTTCGTCAAACTTTCAATTCTCATTTGTATTTATTTAATTTCTAAACTTTCTAAAAAATGGCTGGCAGGCAGGTATTGTTGTTCTGATTTCAATACTTTTAGACAATAAACATTGTAGCGAAATTTTTGAAGCAGAGCATGTACTTGAACAAATTTCACTTCTATTCAGCGTGTTCATAGGAGAGGTGCTTCAAACGGTAGTTTTTTTATTCCTGCTTCAAAATATGAAAGTGCTACGAGGTTAAAATAAATGCGTACACTTGAACGTTTCTTTGAATATCCATAGTTGAAATGAGTCATTTCCGTAATTGGTAAATTTTTCTGTATTGTATTCCATTCAGTATTTGCAATTCAGAACGATTCGATATTTTCAAAAGTCTTCGGTTTTGTTGTTATTCCCAATTTGGAATGAAGGTTAGCTGATATTCACTTGAACCGCTTGAAACGGTGCCAACGTTCGGTAGAATCTCAAAGATGAATGTTGATGTTGAGATAAGCAATTTGTATTTACAAAATGGTGATCTCAGTTTCAATTTGCATTTTCATTTTTTAACAAAAGAAGACGCAAAAAATTGGCATGAAAAATTGCATTATTCAAATTTGAAATTTGTAACCAATTCTCAATCGAAAGGAATTTTTCAAGAATTTTTGAAAAGTAACAACAATTCGAATCAAATATCTAAATGAGATTTCTTTCATTTTCACGCAACAACCATTAACCCAAGCAAAAACAAAGATCGGTTTAAATTTCGTTGGAGAATGTAAAAAAAATGTATGTTCAAACAAAATGGATATTGTAAATTGTGTTTCGGTCTTCGCATGTTTCTTATCTGTTGAGAAAACGGTAAATTGCGCGATAGAATTTTCTGTGTATGCATGCCCAAAACACAAAGAATTGCTTATGCATATTTGTTTTGTAATTTGTTTCTTCAACGTAACGAAAATGCGATAATGAGAAATTACAGAAATTCTCTCCCTCGTCAATGTTCTTGAGAATGTGTTCATGCTGCTGCTGCTGCTGCTTTTCTGTTGTGCAGGCATTATTATTTCTTTCCATTTAATATTGTGTATTTTTGTGATTTGCATTTGTCGATAGACATAAATAGAAAAAACTATGTTTGAAATAAAATGAAACGTATGAAAAGGTCTCATTTGCATTTCTATCAGCCCAAACAAATGACTGCATTACATGTGTTTATGTTCATCGAATGTCGTAAAGTTGATAGTGTTATATGTTATATGATTTGTGAAGCTGTGAACAATATTGCTAATGAAATCATACGCTGTCAATTACATGAAATCATCGCGGAGAGTCATTCGTTGCTTCATTTAAGTAGTGGTGACATTTTATTTCAATAAAATGCAAGCCAACAATCATGATCTCGTGTGTGGAATAACAAGTAACTAACGATGCTTCGTCTCTTTTTCCCCCTTCTTTGTCGTTGTAGCGCGTTTTTTTTTCTTCCTTCTTTTTCTGTACGGATCTGGTTTTGAAAACCAATATTCTGCTGTGCTGTATGTATACAGCGAATGAAGGAAAAAAAAAATTAATTACAAACAGATATTCAATTCGAAGCGAGGAAAATAAATTGAATGGGCTTGTGCTGTTGTTGTTGTTTGGAACGGATTAAATTACACCTGTGTTGTGGTAGAGAGATTCAATTGTCAAGAGACGGGTTTCGGTTGGAAATAGCACAAGATTGTAACGAATGAACAAAGCATCGTTCCCGAAATAATGAAACTTGTATATTTTTTTTGGTTTTCATTTAACTTTCGAGATCTGGGCAGCAGCAAAGAGAGATTGAGATCGTGATCGAGAAAGAGAGAAAGAGGCAAATTTTTGGCTTTTATAAGAAAGAAGGGTCATGTTTTTGCTTCTTCTTTTACCGAAAAAAAAAAAATGAAAAGAATGAACCATCAAAGGAAATCATGCGCTCACAAAACGAGAGTAACAATTTGACGAAATATAAAATAGCGAACGAATGAAACATATTTTTTCTGTTTGCGTCAAAATGATGACCTAATCTGAAGTAGCGAGAGAGAACAGCTTGCATTGATACTTAACGCGCTCACATCGAATGAATGGCAATGTGTGGGAATTTCATTGCAAACAAGTCTGTGGGGCAAAAAAAAAATACCATCGCTTTTATGATTCGGACTAGAATCGCGAAGCCCACACACGCTAACTGAAGAGGTCACAATGCACTAAAACGGTCAAAATTCCATCGAAATCAAAATCGTATATATTTTTGGACTTTTTTTGTACACTTGTTCACCATTTCTTTTTATATAATAATTTCAACTCCATCACAATGTTAAGTAACAAGCGGAGAAAAACAACACCGAAATATGTGTGAATCACAGAAGAAGAAACAAAGTGTGTCGTATTTACAAAACCAAAACTATACTCAGACACTTGTAGATCCAACTTTAGGTTTATGTTTGTCAATATTTACTCGGTAGCACACTCACTAACTCACACACAAAAAATCGCATTCGATTCAACAAACAACTGAAAGCCATGAAAACAAAGTGAGTTCGTTTCGTTGTGTTTTTTTTTTTTTGTTCGTCTCTGTTTCTGTTTTTGATATAGGTCTCGGTACCGATCCTTTCTTTTTCTTCAGAGTTGAGATCTTTTCGTGGAGCAATGATTTGACCAGTACAAATGTCACCATTTTACACGGAATAAATGGGAGAAAAACCTGAACACCGTCTCTCTATCTCAGAACAACAAAATAATTGCGCTGCCAATATAGTACAATATATATATATAGTTAGGTTACGGGAAGCTGGACGTTGCGAAATACCATATTAAATGTGGCAATTATTTAACGAATACCAATAAAAACGAGATGACAAACACACGAAAGCGAGAGAGAGAGAGCGAACGAGTGAAGTGGCGCACGGTAAACAACACAGCAACACACAC